CATATCCTTGTACTTGTCATTCTCTGTGTCCTTAGCAATTTGTTGGACTTCCCGTTGCAGAACTGTTCTCGTACAATCCCCTTATTCCTTTGAAGCCACCAAGGTGCTGCCAGGGCTCTTCCTCCAGCAGTGTCTTGTTATAGCGGGACTACACCATTGTTTCTTTTCAGAGGAGGACATTACACCCTTGTGTGCTTTAGCCTACGCTCGTATGAGGCACCCGTAGCCCACACTCAGCAAATTTGGACTCATAGTGTAAAACCTTTATAAGATAGGCTTATTTTGGCTTTCGTGTTACGTTTTGTCCAATAATCAAACAATACTCAAGCTTCTCAGGAAGATGGCTGCTTCCTTTGGTATGAGCATGCTCTTATGGTTAGCTTGAGATCCTCCTAGATTTGTAGGGGTGGGCGGAAAGGATAAAAAGAGAACAGCGAGTTAGTGGCCCTAGTCACAAATCGCAAGAAAATGGGATCTATTGACAGCAGTGTTGAAATCCCAGAGCTCCAGTTTCTATTACCCATGAGGATCATCTAGTTGACCACGAATCCCTAAAAGCTTTTTTTAACGTGGCGAGGAATTGTAGCCATAGCGGGTTATTTACTGAAGCTACAACATTAACGAAACGAAACTCATGTAGCGGATTAACAATGCCACTTTGGCTGAGCTATTTGTATTTGGGCGTTATTGACGACATCACTTCATTAGTGGAATGAATTCTGAGTAGATGATTACTTCATTTGAAATAACATTGTGGTGGTCTTACTCACGTCAGTTACTAGCTATGGAAATCATGTCATAAAGGTTAACTACACTCTATGACTTATGTAGAATATCGAGTGGAAGCCCCAATATGGAGCGTACGATGAATAAGCTTTCGACAGCAACGTCATAAGGCCTTATCCATTGCTACGTCAAAGGGTTTGAAGGCGCTAATGCTCTCACATGCCGAAAGCTTACGGTGGCGACGGCAAATGGCTACTGTATACAAAGCCCCGTGAATCGTTATTTCCGGCATCAAAAACCTTGTTAAGCGACTGCTGTACAGTATCACGTGTTTAACCACGCCCTCATTAGTGCACACTTTCTCCTTCTAGAGAACAGATATATTTCCGTTGGCATGTTTCTCATGTAGGCTGCCCAGTGCCGAATAGGGTGAAATGGGAGGAGTTGGCATGTGATCTGAGATGGAAGAAGTGAGGAAAGCGCAACGAGCGGCGTTGTGATGAATGCGGTCCTCGCGCGAATCTCCCGGTGCATGCACACTCCTTGTTTATGGCTTTATTGAGAGACGTTGAAAATTGCATTCAGGAAGAAGGAGCATTTAGGGATTCCGCTGAGTTCACCACTCAGGTCGTTCAACGATTTTCACGACCACTCACGCCCATAATTTTCAAGCTAATTGTCCTTCAGCTTCTAATATTGGATAAATCTGATAGTGTTGATAAACCCGTGCCGACGTTTAGTGTCAAGTGGTCAGTGAACGGCAAAAACTGATGGCGGATCAAATCAAAATAAGACGTCGACAACGCAAAGACAGCATCATCAACCTCCAGCGTGACCATCTGGCTTCGACTATAAACGCAGCCGCCGCTCAAATTGGCCAGATGAACTTTGGACTCAGCGGACTTAGTTTACTATGTGAGTGTTATTTCAATGGTTTCTTATGGTTGAAAATATACAGAAATCCAATTACGGCAACTATGTGATGAGCTTTGGCATCCAAGCTGAAATGAAACCTATTCTGCTTCTGAGATCTATCTTTATGCTAAGCACCGTATTTACAAAAAGCCCCGCCCCTTCGCTAAGCTAAACTATGCGTATCGTTCTATAAAAAAGCACTGCATCCAAAACTACCCTCAGGTTTCTCTTCCATGCCGCACTTGCTTACTTAGGAGGGGTTTCA